AAAGAAATTTTAGTAATAGATTTTGTGTGTGTGTGTTTTTAAGGGCCCACAAATAGTGGGCCCTTAAATGAAAATGTTATAATAGTTTTGTAAGACAGAAATCTGAACAAATTAATGATCCGGTGATTCAACAAATGCACTGAAGCATTTATTTTTAGTAGTTTCTGAGATCATTCAGTTTAATCACAAATCCTGTTTCATTATACCAGTTCTGCTGATTCAATTCTTAAAGATGTGCATGAAATAACCAACAAAAATTCCATCAGACCACAGACTATATATTTTGCTATCTGTGACTGAATGTAAACTAAGAACTGTTAGGGATAACATTGTTTACCCTAACTGGTTTGGGTAAAAATAATAAATATGGTATCATGGTTTGTTAGTTAAAGTGTGTGTAACTTTAACAGCAAGAATGTAATTAAGGGTGTGGTTGTAAAAGCACTATATAAGAAGCGAGGCCATTGCAGCTCTCTCTCTCTCTCTTGCTTACTGATCCCTAATTACTGGATGGATTGATGACTGCGTTCTTGCTGGAAAGGGGATAGAAGAAGGAGTGTTGATATTTCTCAACGGAGAGAAGATAAAGACTGATTTATTGTAAGTGTACTGACATTGGCTATTCAACACGGACTTTGCAAATAGAGTATCCCCGGCAAGACTTGACTGAAATTGATATATGACTAATGGACCGTTTATTTGACTATGCTATAATTCTTAAATGGAATAAACAATATTTTTGATAGCACAAGCGTATCTGTATTTTTACTGCGTGTTAACTAGAAAACTTATCTCACACATTTACCTGTCTTCCTATCTGACTTTGCTGCACGTTCTGTTTAGTTTGTTTTCCTTAACACCCGTTGGGGAATCCAGGCCAGCTCTACATGAACACAGCCCAAAGTCACTGTCCAGTTGGTGGCCTTAGAAATCTAGATAAATAGAGGCTCTGTGATTACATATACGTGCAACAACATAAGGACAATCTACAGACAAATTCTTTTCCTAGGGAACCTAAATCGATCCTCAGAAACAAATGTGAAATAAAGCCAAGATAGAACTTAGATAGAATATCTTATGGTTCAACATTTTTATTGAGTTATAAAATATTGTAAAATACAAAAGTAAATAGAAAAGCAGTGGGTGGGGGAGAGAGGAAGGAGAAGTGAGGAAAGATAAGAAAAGAAAAAAAGAAAAAGAAGCATTGACTTCCAACTCTCTCTGTTACAAGGCATTAACATCAAATCATCACTTTTTGCTTTTTCATAATAATATGTACAAGCTCTTTCTGTAAAGATCTATCCAGCTACTTGATAAAACCCAAAATCAAAGTTTCATTCTTTTCCACATCAAGCACGAACTTAGAACTTCAATATCTAAAACATATCTGGCTTTAGCTTAAACATGATAGGTCCAGAAATCTTTAGTTTTATTGCTTTTTTGCAGATCAGTTTTTAATAGATACCATTTTAAATATTTGAGCTGCAGTTCTAAAAAAAAATTGTATTGAACTTCTGTGGTACTAATTTTAGTAGCAAAATGGCATTTAAATGGAATACATAAACTCGTCAAGGAAGAAAAAACAATTCTCTGATAGCCAGAAGTGACATCAGTAATTTCAGCACTCCAGTTTTGTTGTGGTCAATGTTATCCCTATATTTGTTTCAATTTAAGGCTAGGATAATCCAGGTTCAAACATCATGGAGACATTGCAAAATCACCAACCTATTTCCAAAACAGGGGGCAGGTAATCTGTGCATTTGCTTCAGACAATGGCATATGCAAAGGGCAGTTAAATTTGCATAATACATAGGGCATGGCTATCCAACCCCACCATTTTGCATATGTGTTGATGTCACACACAAACAAAAGGGGATTAGATAGCAAAGCCTCTTCTCCTCTTCTCCTCTCATCCTATATTTTAAATTATTTTTCAGTTGGATTCTTGTCTAAATAGTTTTTCAAATACAAATGACTTTAATAGCCCTCTGGTGACATAGTTAATCTCAGTTTGACAGTGGGGCTTCTAACAGATTTGTTTATTCAGCTGATGAAAAGACCCAAATTGGAAAGCTTTAATGTTTACTGTTCCGGTTGCACTTGAACAAAATCCAGAGCTTAATTGGCTGGTCTCATTAACCTATCCTATATAAAAGTGAAGATTCCCTTGAATCAAGTTCAGTTCCTACAGACATCTGTCTGTTTCTTGGCCAAAATGGAGAAGTAAATTCCTGTTGCTCGTTTTTCTAGAATGTTTGTTCCAATTTCCAAACCAAGCCTAACCCTACAGCCATAAATGTCCTGATAACTTCTCTACTACCAAGTCTGACCTTGCTTAAATGCTTATTAACAGTGACTGACATCAAGATTTGTTTAGAAAGATTACTACTCTATAAGGACAAAAGCTGTACATTCTGTACCTTTTTTCATTAACATGCTGCTATACTTGCAATAGAGAGCTTGAAATACAATACCAGAAACTCACCGAAATAATAATTTATAGCAGGGAACTATATTTTGCTGAAATCACAAGAATGTAAGGTAATTGTAAACTGGGTTGATTAATTACTTGTTTTGCTGGAAATTTTCTAAGGAAATAAAGAAAATCAACAGTTCTCATAATGAACCTTTTCCATAGTTTGTTTTCCATATTTCCCAAGGGATATAAGTTGATATAATGTAAGAAATTGATACAATTCTTATTATAGCTGCCAGGCTCATTACTGCAGAACACTGGAAAACTAAAATACTGCTTTCCTTGGATCTGCGGTATTTAAATGTGTAAGAAACTACTCTTGACTGAAAAATTAAAATAGCAAAGAACTTTGAAAACCTAACAATAAAAATAAAAAATCTCCAGAAAGAACGATCACCATTTATTAATGAGATTAATTGTGCTTATCCTAATGCCTCCCTTTTGTCCACACCAAATGTTTCTCAATCTTCTTAATTTTGGATGTGTAGACTTCAATTCCCAGAATTTCCCAGTTGGATGTATTCTTTTTGCAACTCTATTATTATTTTATTTTATTTAGGGTTTTTTGTCTTGTTGCTTTGTTTTGCAAAACATGGAAACAGCTTAAGAGATGCTGTGGAAGGGCGTATAAAAATATCCCTTGTCCTTTTTTCATATAGCATTAGCTGTTCTGAAATTTCTCTAAGCAACCTTTAAACTTCAGAAAGCTCCCCTGTTGAGCTAAATATTCTTGCTGCACGGCAGAAAAAATAATAATTTTTATTTTGAACAAAAAAAGTCCATAAGAGCAGTAAGTCAGGTCTGCAAAAAGCTCACTTCTTCACTCAAGGAAAGAAAGGAAAATAAATATCAAAACCGAGAAAATGCAGCGGGAGAGAAACAGAAAAAAATTAATAACAGCATCACCTTTGTTTTACTAATAGTGCAAATAAGCATAGAATGTCAAAAGTTATGTCTAAAATGGGGAAATCGATTAATATTGGCCAATGATTGATTGATTGATTCATTCATTCATGATTTGTCTCATTTTCCATATACCAATGCAAAGAGATACTAAACAACATTTAACCTTAAATCTATAGTTATTCTGATGGGTTCAGAATTTTCAATGGAAAAACACAGATGGGAAAAAGATCAAAGGGTTGCCCCAGAACCCTCAACACAATCATCAAATCCATTAAGCTAAAAATTAATGTTTCCAGTTGAACAAGTTTATAGAGTATGCATATTCACTTTGCATGCTTTCCATATGGTGAATTTTACACCTTCTGAATATTTCTGATTTCCCGAACATCCAGATTTTAAGTATCTGAAATCAACTTCTTTCCAAAAAAACAAAGACTTAAGATATATTCACTGTTTGCATCAGGGAAAGGATTAGTGTTACAAACAACAACAGACTGGCTATAGAGACAAAGGGCCATGTTCAGATGTCCAAAAACCAAATGCAGAACACAAAATAAACAACCTGAGTGTTTAAGCCATCAATAAATTAAAGCAACTTGAAAAGACTTCTCTTACTTATACAAGAATGTTTTATTGTGGGTCTTTAACTCTGACAAATATTCACACTGGATGGCAGGAATAATCACTTTTACACTTCCTTTCTCTTATCCTGAGCTGTAGTTCTTGAGATGGCACCTAAAGTTAAAACTTTCCTTTCATTTGAAGCCCAGGAACAAGAGCCTTGCTCCATTCAGCTACCCTTATTTAAAAGCTGCACCACAGAACTAATTTAATTATGTCATAATACCCAGTTGTCACATTAGGCTCCGTTTTTCAAAAATTCTTGCATTTTTCACAGCTAATTTGCTTCTCCAATTTCACATAAAATTCAAATAATGGTGCAGCTTCAATTGTTCCTGATGGGTGCTGGGTAATAAAGCTCTAAAAGGATTGCCTTTCACATCATCTCAAGGAGAACTTCAAAACTGCTCCACAACATTTGCTTCTCCTTACAGAGTGACACGAGAGTGAGATCGTTTCATCCAAGCTGTTCAGCTAACAACCACACCATATCAGATAGTACTGTGTTGTTGTTGTTAGTTGTGAAGTCGTGTCTGACCCATTGCGACCCCATGGACAATGTTTCTCCAGGCCTTCCTGTCCTCTACCATATTCTGGAGTCCATTTAAGCTACTGCTTCAGTGACTCCAGCCAGCCACCTTATTCTCTGTTGTCCCCTTCTTCTATTGCCCAGCATTAGGCTCTTCTCCAGTGAGTCCTTTCCTTCTGTGTAGCAATTTATAAAAAGACAAGTGGAGAATTAGAGAGAAACAGAAATGTGAAACCCATCTCCAACTTTAATTCAACATGTGTTTCCCTATAATGTCATTGAGCCTAGCAATTACAGTTGTAAGTCATGAGGGATCATAGCAAACCCATTGTTCACTATCGGAGTGTTTTTCCAGAAGTCCAAAGTAAATACCATTTTGGGGGTGGGGGGACTTTGCAAGTTACATTCAGATGGTTGCAGGGCTCTGCAAACAGCCATAAATATTAAGCATTCAAAATCCGGTCACCTGTGCTCACTTCAGCAGCACATATACTAAAATTGGAAGGACACAGAGAAGATTAGCACGGCCCAAATGCGGTCACTTGACCATGAGGGGAGGGATGTCACAATTTCAGAACCACGTTGTAAGTAGATTTTGGGGGTGTCCATCATAACTTCAAATAATCGCTAACTCACCAGTCATAAGACAAGGACTACCTCTCCCCAGCCACAGACTCCACTGCTTCAAGAAGGTGCAGAAAGATGCATTCCGTAGGTGTTCCAAAGGAAGTGCTCCAATGTGTCCTAGTTTAAAAAACCTTATTCATTTGTTTTAGAAGTAAGATTTACAAAGGTATTCAATAGGTACCGAAAAGAATATTGGATAAGAGAATTGCAAACTAAAATGCATTTACTTATTGGGAACATGGAAGAAGAAACAATAGTGACTGCCTAAAGCAGGCATGGGCAACTATGGCCCCTTTAGAATCTGGGGACTTCAACTCTCAGAATTCCTGAGCCATTCAGTATATATTGAATACCACCCTGGCCTAAAGGTTTACTTCAACTGTTAATTCTTTCAGCCACATGGCAGAAGACAGCTAGGAACTGTTCAATCATAGCAGAAGCACTCAGAATCTAGGTGAAGCCACCTTTAGGCAATACAAACAGGAACCATTTAAATATACTCAAGGATGCTAGCAGTTGCTTCATCTTCTACCCATACATTATTTCATCATGGAGCTAGGAACATGGGTAAAAGAAAAATGCTCATGGCAATTATCTCACTTTTACCAAGATGATGTAAATCAAACCTTCTTGGTGAGATTCCTTGTGACTTTTGAAAGCAAAGCCCATTTTTTAACCTGGCACCTCCAAATTCTTACCCTCTTCTGTTTCTTGACAGCCTTCAAAACCTCTGGTTCTGCAGCCTTTTCTGGAACAATTGAGGTTCTTCAGTCAAGATGTTAGGGCAATGTCCGTTGATTGCAAATCGTAACTGAAGCAGAAAGTTCAGCAAACGTAAGTTCATGTCACTGAGCTAGGAAAAAAAAAAGTCCCTGGCCAAACACTATAGATAAAAATAATGGATGCCCCAATGATGAAGGAGCACTTGCCCCTAAAATAGACATAATAAGATTCCACTAATCTCAAGTATTTTTAACAATACTGATTTTTTTTGAGAGAGAGAAACTGGTGAGCATTAAAAAATATTGCTTTTCTGAAAGGTCAAATAGATAGCTAAAGGGAATGTATGGATCATGCAATGTTTAGCATTAATGAACATGTCTTGTTCCCCTCCTCCTTTTTAAAATATACATGAGCACACACACACATACACACACGCACATACACATGGGGGGGAGGGGGATTGAATTTATCCACTTACAAATTTTCAATATTTTTAAAATAACTCTGGTTCCCTGCAGATATTGTTTTTCATATGAAGTAACAAAAAGAGAATAGCTTTTTGAAAATGCCATTCTAAATCAGTTTTCTAGTTTGGAATAAATAACACTAAGCTGCAAAAAATATCTGCGCTAACCCTCCCTAACACTAGCTTTGTTCAATTGTCAATCATATATAGAACAGGCGCACAGGGTGCTTCTATCTTAACCTACATATTTGTCTTCTAATGTAAACACATAGGAGTACAGTGTATTCTGCTATGGTGGTTTGTTATACAACTAACAGCAACTGGGCACCTTCACTTTATGTGTGATTGACAGCTAAAGAAAACTAGTGAGTTAGATTGCTGGCCAACAATCCATTACTATCCACTCTGACTGATGGCCAAATTTTATAGCCTATCATTTGAGATCCTATATATATAAAGTTGTATAGTTAGTTGCAACTTAAAAAAACCCATTAGGGCTTGTTATAGCTCTTTGTAATCTTTATCAACATGCATAGAATTATAAAGTTACAGTCATGATTCTCCATTATCTTAAGCACTTTGAAATAAATAAGCTTAATGACTTCTGATACATGTCAACTAGTACAATGTCTATAGATTTCTGTATAGCATTTTGTTGGTTTACTTTATCTCATTTACTCATTATTATTTTTACAAATAACTCAAGGCAGCAAACATATCCAACACATCTTCCGCCTCCTATTTGCCTCATAACAACAACCCTGTGAAGTGGATTGGGCTGAGAGTGACTCATCCAAAATCACTCAGTTTGTGTTCATGCCTAAGGCAGGACTAAAATTCATGGTCTCCAGCTTTCTAGCTTGGTGTTTAAACCACTAGACCAGGGGTAGGGAAACTTGGCTCTTCTATCAGTTATGGGCTTCAACTCCCAGAATTCCTGAGTGGGCCATAAAACGTTCCCCATCCCTGGCCTACTGGTTTTTCAGTTGTGGGGGAAATCAATTTTTGACTTGAATGGGACTGTTTAATATACAATTTGTCCTACATTTGTATATTAAACAGTCCCATTCAAGTCAAAAATTGATTTCCCCCACAACTGAAAAACCAGGGATGGCTCACTCAGGCCAGGGATGGCTCACTCAGGAATGTTGGGAGTTGAAGTCCATTAGTGATAAAAGAGCCAAGTTTCCCTACCCTTGCAGGCTCTCTAGTAATTTAACCAGAAACATATGTATGTATTTATTTAGTCGTACATGCATTATAACCCAAAAATAATTACCCTTCAAAGGGCATCTATCCAGTAAACACTCCACTCCATTCAGTTGCCCAAACTGCAAGGGTTATTAAAAGAGGATGATGATATAATACATGGACTGTAATCTAGAAATAATTACTCTTTGAAGGTCAAACTCTTAAAAAAAAATCCATTTCACTTAGAAGGGTTATTCTAAAAGAAAATATTTAAAGATAACAACAGCACTTCTGGGTTTGTCATTCTAGTTTAGAGATTATAATCCATGGTAAAGAAATAAAGTACATGCACAACTTCACAGATTCAGTTCCTGGAAGTTCCTAATAAGGCTTGGAAGGAGTCTGGTATCTCCTCACTTCACAGCTGCTCATGATCAGTGCAAAAACAAGATTGGGCATAGCTAAATGTCCCTGGAGAGTCTCAGTCATCCAGGACATGGTTGTCCCAAAGGTGCTTTTTCTGGAAGCAACTGAACTTTCTGGTTTTTCTTTGAAGATGTTTTGCTTCTGATCCAAGAGCTTCTTCAGCTCTGCAGAGTTGAAGAAGCTTCTTGGATCAGAAGCAAAACATCTTCAAGGTTATACCAGACAGTTCAGTAGCCTCCAGAAAAAGCACCTTTGGGACAAGATTGGGCAGACTTTCCCATTTATGACATTCTCAAACTGAGTTTCATTTTAGGGGAGATAATTTTTATGCAGATACAGCACTTTGCATCAGTTACACTGAGTGTGAAGTAATCAGACAATGCAAGATGGAACTTTTAAAAGTACAGGTTCTTTTAAATATAATCCTGGAGGTGGGGTTTTAGCAGCTTAAAGCATGTTATTTTGATATGATTTCTTCTTTAATGAATGAATTCACTTTTCCTGCGGAGTCATCTGAAAAAGAAAAATATGCTATATTTCTGAATACATCTATCAGCATCATGATGGATATGCTTATCTGGGAATAAAGCTGAATAACCTTGACATAAACATGCATATGCATGCACAAACAACCTTGGGTTACCTACACTTTAGAAATGACAGAGTTACATCAATCCATAAGAATAACTTGAGAAAATATCCAAAGATACTATATGAAAGCTGATTTTATTCTCTCAAATGGTCCAGTCTATTTTCAGCCTTTTAGTCTTTGCCATGAACTTGGTAACTCTAAGTCACTCTACAATTTTTGTAGCATGCTGTAGAGCACTGTAGAGAATATAATGAAAGTAGAGCAGTGAATTAAAGCATTAGCATTGTTTATATAGAATGCCCTATCTTCAAAACATTATTCCAAGAAATTGTTGGTTTGCCTATCTGATATCTTCCTCCTTCAGAGGTTAGAGGAAGAAACAACCAAATGCTAACAGTACCAATGAAAAGACAAGGCTGCTTAACTACTCTTTTAGTTTGGTTTTCTCCAACAAAAAGTATTCTACAATAATATTCTAGAAACATGAAAGATGTAGAAATATACCTTGAGGGTTATAGAAACATTCAACCTTTTTGCTTTGTGTGAGTTTAAATAGAGTAGCTCAAAAAATTGCATCCTAGGGTACTGAAGGATCCTGAAGATGGTCTCACTGCTAATTTAATCTTGGGAAATCCTGAGAATGGGTGTAAAGTGCCAGGTACTAGAGAAGGTCAAATATTGTCTTCATTTTTAAAAAGGAGAAAAGGAAAAGATGAGTGTTCAAACAACTTCAGTACCTGGGATTCTAGAGCAGATGATTAAAAGACTGATAAGTAAGTCTCTTGAATATAATAGGGTAAAAAGTCACCATACATTTGTCAAGAGGAAGAGAGAGACTTTCCAGATTAATCTCATTATGTACAAGTAAATTATTTAATAGATTATGGGAATGTAGACCTAATATACTGTATCTTGACTTCAACACAGCACTTAACAAAACAGCCAGTGATATTTGAATTAGCAAACTGGGTAGCACAACAATTATCTGGATACTCAAGGAATGCTCATCATCTGGATTTCCATGTCAAATGGGCTTTCAGAATCAGGATCGAGATTCCTACACTCTTCAATTTCAATATCAATTTGGAAGATGAGGTAAGTGGAATGTTTATCATATTTGGACATTTCACAATAGTGGAAAGGATAATCAATACCCTAGAAGACAGAAGTAAAATTCAAAATACTTCTGATAGATTAGAAAAATAGGCTGAAGTTAACAGGGTGAAATTTAACAGATACAAATAAAGTTCTCCACTCAGGAAACAAGTGAAATAGAGATTATACTTACCTCGATAATACTGTAACTTTTACCCACAGCGTGACTTCAGTTGTAGTGTAATTTATTTATTACTTGTATTACACTTATGTAAACAAAAGCTGTGTATATTCTTCAAAAGAGGTGCTTCAGAAGATGAGAGAGCTCATTCAAAGCATCTCTTTTCCAATCACCAAAGTAGCCACTTATTTTTCCAGGCTGATGTAGCTGCTGTAGGAATTCATACAGTGCATCTTTCAAATAATACACACCGTCCCTTTCATATTGCATTG